AGAGTTGCTCTGCCCCAGGCTTCCTGGAATCAGCTGCTGATCAGTTTCAGCAGCAGCTGACTTGGGGACGCCTTTTGTTCTTAAGTTGAATCTGTATGTAAGTCAGAACTGGTGTCCAGATTCAGCGGCTGAATCTGGATGCCAGTTCCGACTTACATACAGATTCAACTTAAGAACAAACCTACAGTCCCTATCTTGTACGTAACCCGGGGACTGCCTGTAGCTAGAAGTGGAGCTGGTCTGTTTGGCAGCAGTCTGCAGGGCCAGTCACTTTTTGTTCTTAAGTTGAATCTGTATGTAAGTCAGAACTGGTGTCCAGATTCAGCGGCTGAATCTGGATGCCAGTTCCGACTTACATACAGATTCAACTTAAGAACAAACCTACAGTCCCTATCTTGTACGTAACCCGGGGACTGCCTGTAGCTAGAAGTGGAGCTGGTCTGTTTGGCAGCAGTCTGCAGGGCCAGTCACTTGGGGGTAGAGAGCCCTGGGAGCAGCTGTCACAACACCTGAACCTCTATTCCAGGGGTGGTGAACCAATTAGAGAATAAGAGCCAAAATAGCTGTGGATAGAGTGCAAAGAGCCATGTATTATATATTTATTTTTATATATGTATATAGTACACAAAATCTAGTGATAAAAATAACATTACAGGACATTTCAGACAGAAACCAATAAAAAAGTCTCTAATAGCTTAAAAAATGCAGTCAGTCCACAGATATTCAGAGAACTTGACAAGGAACAAACATCAAATTAAAAAAAAACATCTGAAAATATAGTAATATTATCACACTAAAAATAAGCATTCCCCCATGTATTTTAAATTTAACCCTACTGCCCTATTATGTCCCGTGAGTTTGTAAAATTAAACTGAACTGAGAAGTAAATTAGCACAATTTGAAGTGCCTGTTTCACTCCAGCTTGTTGATCTCTGGTACGGTTTCCTCACTTTTTTTTTTTTTTTTTTTTTAAACACATATGAAGATGATGGGTTTTTTTTAATAGTTCTAACAATTCAGGTCTGTCTCAGACTGCAAATACGAGAGTTTCAAAAACAATAAGGGCGAGACTCATATCTTGGAATAATTGCTTCAGCCTGGCAAACAATAGCCTTTGAATTTTTATTTTTTTTAAAAGAAACACAATGTAAACCAGGTACATGCGGATTCTTTTTTTGCCCTGGAATATAAATATGACATGTGTGTTGGCTGCCTTATTCTGCATCCATGAAGACTTTTAGTTTAAGGTGCTTTGGCCCGTCTCCCCCCCCCCGCAACTCAATGCCCTCTTCCTCCCCAGAGCCAGGCATCCTCAGCCTTCCCTGCTCTAACCCAATGCTTGTGGTCTCACTGGAGCCACTGCCGCCGCCACCAACCACGTGCTTGTCCCTCCAGGCGCCGGGGTGCATATGCAAAGCAGCTGTAAGCAGTCCAGGTACATACCTCCAAACTAGCAAGAGCAGCATTTCTATGAGCAGAATCGCATGTGGCTCGAGAGCCACGGGTTTGGCCACCCCTACTCTATACTGCAATTAAACAGCCCCCGTTGTCCCTTCTGTGGGTGTTTGACTTCAATAGTGATTTTTTTCTGGATGCTGGGCACCCAAAATTAGGATATTGGCACAAAATTAACCTGTGGCGTAAGCAGAGCAACATTCCAATTTCATTGGATTTGTGCCCACTTAGACATAAATCTGACCTCTCTAAGCATATTCAAGACTAAGGTTTACACAGATCCTTCCTTAAATGAAGGAAAGAGAGAGAGAGAGAGAGAGAGAGAAGGGAAACCTCTTTTCTCCATGACTACCTAAATACTTTAAGGAAAAAGAATGCTGGCTATTTTTCACAATTTGGATTTGTTTAAAAAATATATATATTTATTTTTTCTGATTGGACAGGTCACTTGGAGATGACTTAACACCTTCCAATTAAAAACAATATAGTGGTGGGCCTGCTGAAAGGTTTTGGGTTTTGTTGTGTGTGTTTCAGCGTGGCATTTTGAAAAAGTAGCTGACACATTCAATTTGAAAGCTCATTACATTGTATGATGTCAGACCAATATGAGTACTTCCACCAAAAAGTAAAATGAGAATTACTGGCTTCCTTCATGGCAAAACAAAACAAAAAACATAACCAAAAAAATCTACCCACTATAGCTCCTTTTCACTGTTGTTGACAATTATTGTGTCCAGTACAACGAAGACTAGAAATTAAAAACAACAAAAAACACAACATGTCTGCTTTCATAGCCACCAAATTCTAACAGATGAAGTAGAAGAGGTTGTGAAACCGTCATTCATAATTCAGGAAATCAGCTGCATCGGTCCAGTTTAGACAAAGTACCTAAAGTTGAGATCCGGATTTAAACACTTCAACTTTTAGAAATCTCCCCTCCTACCTCCATGTTGATAAGTAGAAGGACAGCAGCATTTTCCTTCAAATCAAGATTTTCAAAAGTGGCCATTGATTGAGTGCTAAAAGCTGAGATATCTTTAAGAGGCTTGATTTTTTCAGAATATTCACACCTTGGGAATATCTGGCTTTTTAAAGTAATCAAAAAATGGATAACTAAATAGAGGCAGCCAGTATTATTTTTTAAAAAACAGGCTCTTGTTCTTAGCTACTTGATAAGTTGCTTGAACAGTAGTCAAATGGAAGTATGTGGTGGTGAGTTAGCTGTAATATAGTTATCCAATCTATATTTAAAAAGAAAAGGAAAAAAGCAAGAGGAGGAATGAGTTGATCTTGCACTCTTTAGTCATGCTACATTTCTACTTATTTGTAAACAAGACTTATGCCAGAGCAAACACAGAACTGGATACATGTTACCATATTACTAGTCATTTTAAGCTAAGTAGCTCAAATATGATAACTGTTTTCCCTTTGTATGTCACATGTACATTTATAGGAATTCTCTTTTGATAGCCACAATTATTGAGCAATTAATTTTCCACAATGTATACTTTTATTTGGAAAACTCTATACAATACTAAATTATTTTATGACTCACCGAGATTTTGCAATGTTTATAATTTTAAATTATCTCAAATACTCTATAAGTCTTTATTATGCAAAACAATGCTAAAACTCATATCACACATGAAGAAAAATTAAATGGAGAGAAACATCCACATATATATTTTAGAGAGCTTATGCATCTGTCTGAGTCCATTTGTTCAAGTAGATTCTTGAGTTAGTACCCTTCCCGTCTAATTGCTATCCTATGATCCTTATCTGCTTCTTTTAACTATCCAATCTTTAGGTGCTTATAGGTTACCAGTTCTGCCTACTTGTTTTTCCCTTTGATATTTTCATACCTTCTGCTCCTTGTTTCCCACCCCCTTCCTTTCCCCTCCCCCCCTCCACACCTTCCCTTCTCCTCTATTTATTTTGGGTCTGCACATCCTAAACACAAAACTCCGGTCATTTGAAGAAGTGGCCTGTGCCCATGATACCATCTACATCAGTGGTCCCCAACCTTTAGGGGCTGCCGGGTGCCCGGAGGGGGGACCACTCATGTGCTGCACACCTGGGGGCAAGACTGCGCATGCGCCGCGTTCCTGGGGCCCAAGAATGGCTTGGGCCAGCCCTGATCATTCGGTGGGCGCACATAAATGCCCCAGCAGGCACCATGGCATCTGCGGGCACTGCGTTGGGGACCACAGATCTACATGTTTTGTTAGTCCTAAGGTGCTGCAAGACTAGTTGTTGTTGTTGTTGTTTTTTAAGTTTTTCCATTTACAGACGAACACGGTTACCCTTCTGAATCATTTGTGTTATATGATTGTCATTGTAACAGAACACTGTCATTGACCTTCCTTACCATTTTCCTGAAGTCCAATTTCATTATTGCAGGGGTAGAAAAAAACATTCTATCCCATGTTTGTTGTTGTTGAAGTTTATCCTCCAACAGTAAGAGCTAGGGCCACAAAATTTAGCATGCAGCTTCCTTTTACCTTAACTTAAAGCAAGATCAGGGTTTGGTTGTACCAGGAAGTGCCTAGAATGGGAATGTTTTCCAGAACATGGAAAGGGAAGGGGCAGAGAGGAGGGACGCTATAATGTAGTGACCATTGGGGAGAGTTGCATCAGTAGGAGAGTGGCCATCTGGGCACAGGGCTCCACACGGCCAGCCACCAGACTGAGTAAGTGGCTCCCCTGCCCCAAACTGTGCCAGTGGGGGGA